CACTCCATTGATTTGAGTCCCAGTTTCCTTCTCATCACTATTTCTTTGTGCATTTTGCTTCATTTCACTTAGTTTAGCCTTCATTTTTTCATCTAATTTGTAACTAAAATCAACCAGTTCTGTGAACATCCTGGTCACCATTGTTGAACTGTGCATCTGATAGGTTGGCTATCTCTTGGTCGCTTAGAAGTATTGGCTCTGGGGCTTTGAGCTGTTCTTATTGAGCCATGTTTTGGTCTGTTTGCGCTTGTTACATATGAGGTGCGGAGCCTTAGGTGTTCACCAGGGAGGGGCAACCCATGTCGCTGGGTTGTGATGCTTTATGGGGGAGTGGTCAGAGAGGGGCAATGGTGTTTGTTCCACTCTCGGAATTGGTCCTCTCTGCTGCTTCCCACAGCAAATTGGGCCCTTCTGGTGCTGGTTCCTGGATGTGTGGGCTTGTGCACCCTCCAGAACCCTGTGGGTCTCTCCAAGAACTCTCTGTGAGCCTGGGAGCCTCTCCCAGCACCTCGACCACCAAAAGTTTTTCCAATTGGTGCTTTTAGGCCCTGGGTTGCACGGTCTGTCTCACTGCTCACTCCTTTGCCTGATTTATCTGCGCGCGAATGTGTGACTGCAGTCAGCCAGCCACCTTGCACCCTCATTGGGTCTGCCTGTCGCCACCCCACACCTGGGATCTGCCAACTGCTGCCTGCATGCCTGGGTCAGTCCTGGGTCAGTCTGGTTGCTTTTTCCTGCGCCACCCCTCTCCGCCAGCTGCTGACTCGCCCCTCTTACTGGTCTGGATGAATGGTTCATGGTTGTCAGACTTCAGTACAGTTTAATTTTCTCTCTGTTTTGGTTGCATTCTGGTTTTTAAATATTTGTTGTTCATAAACTTGGTTGTGCGAGGAGGTACAGTGTTTCCACCTACACCTCCATCTTGGCCATTGCTTAATATTTCTGTTAAGTGTCATTTTATGTGTCTGTTCCCTTATACACCATAAACTAGTTGTTAGGTATACATGGTTGGTCAGATTTAAGATTATATTTTGATAAGAATGCCTCGGTGGTGGTGTATGCGTCCATTAAGGAACCGATCTGGCCCTGGCCGGTGTGGCTCGGCTGGAGCATTGTCCTGTAACCAGAAGGCCGCAGGTTTGATCCCAGCTCTGTGCATGTATGGGAGGCAGCACATAGATTCATATTCTCTCTCTTTCTCTTTAAAAAAAATGTCTTCAGGTGAGAATAATAAAAAGAAACAGTTCTGCTTGTTCTTTTGGTAGTCATTGCGTAGGTTTATTAATTAGGTCACTAGTCTTCAAAGTAGACCATAGACCCTGAAGGTCCCCGGACACTTTTAATGTGGCCCAGGGTTTACTAATGGGGCAAAATCATGATGGATAAAAGTGCTGGTACCTTAGCATGAATTAAGGCAGTAGCACCAAACTGTAGTAGTGGTCGTTCTATGTATTCTTCAAGATAACTGGCCAGTAATCTTGAAATATGTCAAGTTCTTGAAAGTCAAGGAGATACATAGAACTGTTTCATGTTGAGGGACATTAAAGGGAAAGGACAACTAAATGCAACATGTGATCCCAGCTAAGCCCCATGCCTGGACTCTGACCTACAAAAACCATGAGGTAATAAATGTGTTGTTTTAAACCACTATGTGTGGTAGTTTGTTCAGAACACTAGTACATGGACCATCTGACTCATGACTGTACATATGAAACAAAAGAGTAACATGGAATCCAGCAGTTCTTGAAAATCTATATCATAAACAAGGTGGGTTTTTCCAAGGAACTGAAAACTGGTTTAATACTAAGGTCTGTCCAGAAGGTATCCAGCTGTGTAATAGGGAAAAGACATTTACTGAAGAAGATACACAGGAAACATCGAACATAGGACAATGACACTTCAGTCCCCTTCAAAGTGGGCATCTTGGGACCTCACAGCTTGGGCATCTCCCAATTGCCATTAGCTACCCTGTAGTATTTTTCTGAATCTCATCAATAGTTTGAAATCTCTTCCCTTTCAAAGGTGATTTTAGTTTTGGGAAAAGCCAGAAGGCGCAGGGCATCAAATCTGGGCTGTAGGGGACTGAGTCACCTGGGTGATCTGATGTTTTGTCAAAAGACATGATGCATGAGCAGGCGTGTTGTCATGATGAAGCTGCCACCAGTTGCCCATAGCTGTGGCCTCCTGAATCATCTGAATAGTTTCTACGGAGGAATGTGCAAGCTTAATGCAAAATTTAATGCAGATTTATTGCCGTCCTCATTTTTAATGCAACGGCCACACAGTACACATGCTCACTCAAAGGTGTCTACCATCCCCATTGACTAGTACAGTGAAGTTGTCATTGTTCATGCATGACCCTTCCAGTCCACCCTCCTTGGCTGCCAGGTCACATCGATGTCATGCAAACCATTCTCATATTAATGGCTGGACTCTTGCCAGACAAACCTTGTATATATCCATCATCAAGAATTAAGCATAATGACAGTAAAGAAAAATCTAATGATTATCTCAAAAGAGAAAAACCTGATCACACTCAATCTTCATTCTTGATTACAAGTCAAACACTATGTCTTTAGCAAACAGCATAGTTAATGGTGACTTATGCAAACTTTTCTTTTTAGTCCAGGTGGGTGTTACAGATACCTACCATCCCCACTTCTATTCAGTATTTGTCTGGAGGTGCTAGTTCAAAAGGGTAGAAATTAAAGTCATGAGAATTGGAAAGAAAATGAGTGATTTTTTTTTAGATGACAAGTGGTGTAGGAAGAAAACCTATATAAAAATTAGACATAAGTTTAGAAAGGCCTGTAGGTACAAGATAAATATATGGATTTATATATTTCCTCTAGGAAATATATAAATTTGTACTTGTACCTCTAGGTACAAGATAAATATATGGATTACATATATTTACCTACCAGCATCAAACTAAAAGACTTGGGAGAACTTCACTGACAAAAGGGACAGGGTGGTAGGATTCAAGACCTGCAGAACCTCCACTGAGTTGATGTCAAGAAACACCTCTGTAACTAGACTGCAAAGACCAAATACCAAGGAGCTGCAAGAGTCAGTGCCTCTGGTTGCCAGGATCCCTCATCCAGGTGTCAAAGAATGACAGTCCTCAGTGCTTGTGTAGCCCGAGCATACATGTATGTTTTTAAAACCGTGCGGACGTAAATGGTGTGCATACTACATACAGGCAAACTCTTCAACTCATTTGACTTGCCAGTAATGTGGTTGGAGATAAATCCATATTACATCTTCTACATTCTTGTTTTTTAACTTTCAGTTTGAGATCATTTCAGAGTGTTACAAAGAAGTTTAGTGCGCCTTCCCCCAGGACCACCCGTTGCTGACATTTGGCTCTATTTGCCTCATAAATGCTTTATCGCTCCTCATTCCCTCCTTTCCGTGTGGGTGTCGGTGTCAGTGTCAGTGGGTGTCGGTGTCAGTGGGTGTCTTGAGTCGCTTGAGAGCAGGATGCACATATCATGACCCTAAATCCATCAGTGTGTATCTCCTAAGAATGAGGACATCCTCTTTTGTAAACAGTACAATTTTATAAAATTCCTAAGATTCAATATTGGTATAAAATTGTTCATCAGTAACTCATGTTCAGATGTTATCAAAAAAGTGATTGGTACAAAAGTGTATTGTACCAATAATACACTTTTATAGCAATTTATTCCTAATCCAGGATCCCATCCAGGATTGGATATTGTATTGGCCTTGTTTCTCTAGTTTTACTTAATCTGGAATAATTGTCAGTCTTTTTTTATCTTTCCTGACATTGATATTTTTGGAAAGTTTTTTATTACCCCCTTATTTTACTTGATGCAGAGTTGAGAAAAGACAAATTAGGCCCTAAAGGCTGTTTACCTACTCCCTGCAACAGCAATTTTCAAACGGTGTTCCACAATTTTTAAATTTTATTAGTAATTTTTAATCTGCACCTGAGGATATATTTTTATTGGTTTTCGACAGAGGAGAAGGGACAGAGAGAGAAAAAAGAAACATTGCCCTGGGCAGTGTGGCTCAGTTGCACATCAGCCTGCAAAGCAAAGGGTCACTGATTCCATTCATATTGATTTTTCTTGACCTCTTTCTCCCTCCTTTCCCTCTCTCTAAAAATAAATATTTTTTTAAAGAAAGAAACATTGATGTGAGAGAGAAACATTCGTTGGTTGACTCTTGTACGTGCCCTGACCAGGAACCGGACCCACAACCTAGGTATGTGCTGTGATCAGGGATCCAAACCACAACCTTTGGCCTATGCTTCAACCAACTGAGCCAGCTGGCCAGAGTGAGAATTTTTAAAACGTGATACCTGACTATTTAGTCTGGGCCCTGACTTCTCTTCCTTTAGACTGTCAAATAAAAATGACAGCAGCCAATTCAACAATAGCCATTTGGTGCAAATGAACCAAAATTATACTTTTTTTCCCAAAAACTACATTTTTTTTGGAAAAAAGATACATCCTTGTGTGTGCTGCCGAATTTTAGTTATTAGTTTACGTGTGCGAAGGGACGAAAAGTTGAACACAGTTGCCCTTCAGACGCCGAGTTGGAGTGAAGGAAAAACAGGTTGGTACCCTCTGGAGCTCTGGAGACTCCTCGTTCTCACAAGACCCCTTTCTCGACCCGGTCGCTCTCAGGCTATGTGGTTGCAAATGTCCTCTGCCCTCTTTTCATCTGGATAGAGGGTGAGTGAGGGGGGACCCTCTCTACTGAAGAGCTTTCTGAAGCATAGTTCTCTATGAAGAAAATGAGAGCTCAGGAGATTGTTGTGTGTTCTTTTATGACAAATGCTTTATTTGTATTTGCCCTTCATGGAACACTAGTAGGAGTCAGTGTGTGCACTGTGATTGATGATCCAGTCCTCCCCAGTGCCGTGTGTTTTGGAAGCAGCAAATTCCAACCGCCTTCATCCCTGGGAAGAGAAACAGCCCCTGGAGGTCCTAGGGGTGGGGCAGTTACTGGGAGGGTGAGTGCCCAGAGTGAGCAGGGTTACCATTGTGTCCACTGACTAAGGCGCGGTAAATCTTGTGTTTGTGTGTTTAATAAATATACACAAGAAGCCCTGGAGGAAGAGGTGTTATATATTTAGTTCATTCTTTGAAACTGAATCTGCTCAAAGTTTTCAAGCCACCAACTAACAGTAGTATCTCCTGGCAACATGCTAGAATATTGAAGATGAATGGAAAGAATTATGATGCATAGGAAATCCAAGTTGGAATGTAACTGAAGTACAGATAAAGATTAGTTTTCAGCTCCTGAGGAGCGGGGGGAGGAACATATAAATTGTTCATCACAAGCAAAAAAAAATCAAGGTAACAGGCTCGGAGAAATGAAGTTTGAAAGGATTAGATGTTGCTCCTGAAAAGAAGTGCAAAGTCCAACGTGGTTTCGATAAAATGACTTCGAAGCAGCCTTTCCCCGCAGATGACTTCGGTATCTACTACGTCCTGTGAGCCTCTCTCTATTACAGCCTTCTAGATTATCCCAGTTTGGGGGAGGACGTGATGGGGGAAGCCATGCTAAAGCAGTCAGGGGTGCATGCCACATTTGGAAGGGTTCCCCCAGACCTGACCCACTGGAGGTTCCCAAAGCAAAGGAGGATATTATTTAATATCTAGCCAATAGATATTCCTGAAGAGTGACATCAGTAGATAAAAAGTGAAACTGACCTGACTTGGACACCAGCCTGCAGTGCTCTCAGTGTCATGGATGAGATATGAGACAAATTCACACAGACTACAGAGTCCTGTGGAGGAAAAGGAACGGCACAGCTACTCCCTCAAGGGGGAAGTGCTTCAGAGAGGCCTGGCCACTCTCTCAAGGGGAGAGCACGCTGACCCTGGCCTAGACAGGCTTTTATAGTGTTTAATTTGCACAGGAATACAGGTACAGCTCATTAATCATTGTCAGGCAGTAAGGATCAAATGATAGATAGCATGCAAAGAACTATTAGGGCTTCTTCTGAGTCAGGGTCTATCAGCTAAAAGGCTACAAAACTTTGGGAAGCAAACTCACTCTCTGCCTGGGCCTCTATCATTTAACTAAGAGCATTCTTAGCAAAGCAGGCTTCACAGGATTTTACATACTCTTTCTCAGGCCTGATCACCCAGGGAGCCTGCCCTTTCCAGCCCAGGGCGCCCGCCCTTTCCAGCCCAGGGCTGCACTGCCCTCTGTCACTGTTTCAGGCTTACGTCAAGCAGAGGAGGCAAGATAGCCAAGGAAGTAGGAGAAATAAGGACTCAGGCTTTGTCAAAGCTGAGGGGTGAGGGTCCATCACCCCCTTTCTCTATAACCCACCAAGCCCTTCCCTGGGGCCTCCACATGATCATGCTTGTCTTAGGTGGTCCCCCCTTGGGGAATCTTATCCGTCATTGGCTAACTGATGAAGCATTGGAGGCCAGTTATGGAAAAAGGAGCAGAAGCAGCAGTGCTGCCAGGGAGATAAGCTTTGTCTCCTTGGTGGCTTGTGGTTGCTCACTCAGCCTTAGCCATGGAGCCTCAGCCACAGCTCCTGAAAGCAGGCAGGGCAGTTCCCAACAGTGACCCTCCGTGGAAGAGTGAGCGGGTTGCAAACTGGCAGAGTTCTAAGTAGAGGTGCTGAGGGGAGGTTGCCACCTCACGCAGACCCAGTTTTAAATAACATGGATGGGAGACAAATCGTGAAAGGACAAAGAAGTGGGGCTGCCTGGTGCAGAGCCAAATTATGAGAGAAAACGGTGGAGAGAGGAGGGCTCCGTGGGAGCCCACAGTGTCCCCTCCGCTGTGCGGGTCTGCCCGATTCACACAAACGCTGCAATTCTATAAAGAAGCGTTCGCTAGCGAGAAGCGACTTTTCGCTTCTTTAAAAATATTCTAGGTCAGTCACTTCTTTAAAAATAGCTCCAGTTACTGCTTATTAACAGTGTAATCTGTCACAGGCCTGCATTGTTTGGTCTAATCCTGTAAACTCACAAGGCAAGTAGCCTTATCAGTGAGAAACCAGCATGCGAGGCCCAGATCGAGTAACTAGGAAGTGGCCGAGTCAGGACGTAAACTAAGCTGCTGGTTACAGTCTATGCTCTTACTCTCTGTCCCTTTCTCTATGCATATGTGTGTTTTATATGGGTATGTACCCATATATAATATGCACATATAGATGTGCTTTTAGTACATATATATGATATGCTCTCGATGTCATAGATATGTATGTGTATACACACCCACTCTTAATATATGATATATAGATCCAAATAACCCTTTTTCAAAAAATATTTTATTATTTATGCTATTAGAGTTATCCCGATGTTCCCCCTCGGTCCCCCTCCACCCAGCCCCGCCACACTCCCTCAGGCAGTCCCCCCACCACTGTGCGTGGGGGTGGGTTATGGGTACATGTTCTTTGGCTGCTCCCTTCACCTTCTTACGAGTCCCCACCTCCCCTTAAGTCCAACTAACTCTTGACAGATGGTAGATAGATGAATATTCCCTCTTGACACACTGCACATCCCTTAATATATTGCCATGAGCAAATGACTAAACCATTCAACCATGATATCTGCTCTATAACACAGGATTTAAAAGTCATTGAACATACTCCATAGAATTGTTGAAAGAACTACACGGAAAATACATCTTAGGTACTTAACATACTATCAGGCTCACTTCGTGACAGCTATTGCTATTATTAACTATAGTTTATTATTATTACTACTAATAATAATTAAATTACTTGTCCAGTGAAAAAGTAAATACTTTGGTATTTACAGGGAAAGTTTGCATTTTTAGCCAAGCAATTCTGGCATTCTGAAAGGCTGATACTTTCTGTCCTCTTGCTTTGGTTTTAGGGAGAAACTTAATCTCAGCCTGTTTGGCTGCAAGCACTGTTCAAAGAGTTCTGGACTGAGTAATGCAATTTTAGACTCTGGGTTTGAGTGCTTCTGTCCTCGTTAGGGAATTCATCCTGCAGAAACCTCATCAGGAACTCTTCTCATGAGGTTGAGAGAGACTTGCTGTCACGTCTGTACATACTCTGTTCCCTCAAAATGCTTTCCTTTCTTTCCCCATGGCACCACAGTTCAGAGTGCACAGATCACTATGACACCACCCCGGTTGGCAACGCTGAGGAGGACCAGCCCCATTGCCAGGGTGTGACCGGCCTGCGGAACTTGGGCAACACGTGCTACATGAACGCCATCCTACAGTGTCTCTGCAGCATCTCGCCGCTGGTGGAATACTTTCTCTCCGGAAAGTACATCACTGCTCTTCAAAAGTAAGACCATTGTGTTCCCTACAGTCCAGCCCCTCCCTGCTGCTCCCCCAAGGTGAGGTGAGGGAAGGAACCTTCTGGAATCCCTATTAAGGGCTAAATAGGTCCGTAGAGGCTGCAGTGCCCCAGACACCATTTCCTGGGTGAGTGAAGTGAGAAGGTCAACCAAGAAATGAATGAAGCTTTGACTGGTCTGACGGCCACACGTGTGAGCGTGTAGGTGCCTCCTTTCATTGAATCAACCAGAAACATCTGCCTTCCTTCTCCCAAGGGACTGCAGTAAGGTTGCCACTGCCTTCGCCTACGTCATGACTGACATGTGGCTCGGAGACGCAGACTGTGTCTCACCGGAAATATTCCTGTCAGCTCTTGGCAACCTCTACCCAGCATTTATGAAAAAGACACAACAAGATGCTCAGGAATTCTTGATTTATGTCCTGAACGAACTTCATGAATCTCTGAAAAAGGTAAGTAGAATGAAAGGCCTTGAAATAGGAGAGGCCTTCAGCTCCGTCAGCAACTTTTATTTTTCATTCCTTCATTTGTGCAGTCAGTATTGCCTCCTGTGTGCCAAGCACAGGTGCTGGGGGAACATTCAAGTTAGCGTTTGAATAGGTCTGTCTCTACCAAACCCAGCTGCTCATCAGAATCACCGAGGGAGATTGTAAAGACACATCCTAAGGCCCTCACTCGAGTGTTCAGGAGTCTGAATGTCCGGGGCTGTCATCTGGAAAGCTCACTTGGTACAATACTTCCAGTGATCAGAAGGCGTGGGAACCACTGATCTAGTTCCGTTGGTAAACTGCATCTGCGTGGACTGTTTTTTAAAAGTGAAAATTGCAGCCTTGGACAGGGTGGCCCAGTTAGTTCGAGCACTGTCCTGTAAACCAAAAGGCTGCAGGTTCGATTCCCGGTCAGGGCACATGCCTAGGCTGTGGGTTTGATCCTAGTCAGGGTGTGTACAAGGGACAACCCATCTAGGTAACTGATCGATGTTTCTTTCTCACAGGGATGTGTCTCTGTCTCTCCCCCCCCCCCCGCCTCTCTCTTCTTTCCTTTCCCTATCTAAATTGGTGAGCACGTCCTTGGGTGAAGATTAAAAAAAGTGAAAATCACATTAAAAAAATATACATATATATATCTCGTGAGGTATAACATACAGAACTCTAAATATAATGTTGAACTTAAAATAAATGTTCTTGGTAACTACAAGCCAAAGAAACTATCAAGTTCAGTATTAGATTACAGGACACATCTATATACTGCAAAGTTTCGTCTTCATACCAAATGTGCCCCACCTGAGTTCCTCATTCAATCAGGACATACATTTAATAAAACATTAAATCACCAGTTACTAAGGGTTTTTGCCTTTATTTACTAGACCACTGCCTTCAGCCTTGGTGGGAGACCCACACCCTCCCAAGACATGTCCTTGACGTCCAGCAGTGTCCTTGCGATGTTAGCTTACCTCATTGCTGACATCCAGGAAATACTCAGCATAAAAGATCACAAGACAGCTATTAATCTTTCTCATCTGCAGTCCTCAGTTTCATGTTTTATTTTTACTCCTAACAGGATATTCATGGCAACACTTTCTTAGCCAGAGGTGAGGTGGTGGTCAATAACATCACATGGGTCCTCTCTGTCAGCTCTTCTGAAATAAATAACATCCTGGTTCCCGAGACCAAACTTGGAATTGGGGTCATTAAATTGCTGTCAGGGGAGAAGACGTAAGCAGCAGGGTGTGATGAAGGAGGAAGGGAAAATGGAGCGGGGTGCGCCGCTCCAACATAGGGCTGACTGGAGCTCATGCGTCTTCCAGATGCGTCAAGTCACTAAAAATCAGCCAGGGTGTGCTCCAGCCATGCCGTGCCTACCTATGAGCTATCGGAGGTTCAAGTCAGGCAGGAGGCTAGTCACATCAGGCTGCCTTAAGGATTTAAGATTTGCTCTTTTTAAAAAGTGTTTTCTCAGAATAGACACTTCTCCAAAGAAGACATACAGATGGCCAATGGACAGGTGAAAAGATGCTCAAAGTCACTAATTAAAGTAGAGAAGCAAATAAAACCACAATGAGAGATCACCTCACACCTGTCAGAATGGCTATTATCAATAAATCAACAAATCACAATTCCTGAGGAAAGGGGAACTCCAGTGCCCTTTTGGTGGAAATGTATACGGTGCAGCCACCGTGAGAAATTTTTTCTCAAAAAATTAAAAATGGAACTGCCTTATGACCCAGCAATTCCACTTCTAGGTATATATCCAAAGAAACCTGAGACACTAATTCAAAAGAATATATGCACCCCTATGTTCAATGCAGTGTTATTTATAATAGTTAAGTTATGAAGAGCAACCCAAGTGCCCATCATAGATGAGTGGATAAAAATTGTGGTACATTTACACAAAGGAATATTACTCAGCCATAAAAAGGAGTGAAGTCTTACCTTTGTGACAGTATAGATGGCCCTAGAGGGTATTATGCTAAATGAACTGAGTCAGAGAAAGACAAACACCATGTGATTTCACTTATATGTGGAATCTATGAAACAATATAAATGAATAAACAAAATAGAAACAGACTCGTAGGTACAGAGAACAGGCTGATGGCTGCCAGAGGCGAGAGGGATCAAGGGACTGGATGAAAAAGGTGAAGGGATTAAGAAGCACAGATTGGTAGTTACAGACTGGTCATGGGGATGGAAAGGATGGCAGAGAGAATATAGTCAACAGTATTGTAATAACTATGCGCGGTGCTAGGTGGGTACTGGACTACCAGGGGGAGCACTGTTAATTTACTTTTACATTTTTTAAACAAAAATAAAAAGCATTTTCTAACAAAAGAAGTGGTTAGGGGACATAACCTGAAGGGGCTGGCGGGGAGGTCAGATTCCTTGATTTTACCTCAGGATCAGCCTGCATGACCGAAGCTGGTTTAACAGCTTCCCTGGTGACTCTTCCAGGAAAAACTGCCCCCGGGACCCTGTGTCACATCATCATAGGCTCTCAGCTTATGGAGTCACGGTCATGGGTTTCACCAGTTAGGGAGTCATCATTCCTCAGCCTCGCCAAAGGAGGGAAATAACTGAATTATCAGAAGTCACCCAGAACACACACAGGCTCCTACGAAGATCTTACTCTCTTTAATGTCTGAATCCACAACATGGTTTCTGGCCAATTGTGTATTGTTCCGATGGAAAAAATCAGGTCCTTCTGTGAAATAACTTTTTGATAACCAGTGGCTGCTTTGGGCCAATTTGTTCCTCCACTCAGTGCCACCGAGTAAGATCCTGTGAGAAAAGGTCTGTGCCAAGATGCTGCAGGAAGGCGATCGCCAGTGAGTCCTCCATCGTCACCCGGCTCTTTGAGGGGCAGCTCAGCTCCAGCATCATGTGCGTGAAGTGTGAGAACTGCACCTACAAGAACGAAGCCTTCACGGTCCTCTCCCTCCCCATCCCATCGGAGCACAAGTGCTCTCTTCAGGTGGGGACTCTGGCTCCGGGACACCTTCGTGTCTCGCTGTATCCTCGCCCTGGACTTTCTTGGGGCTGTTTCCTGCCTTTTCTAGTATGAAAGGGGCTGCTTGATAACAGCAGCCCTAATTTTTAAAAAATGGGATGCCATGATGATGTTATAGAAAAGTGACACACAGCCGAGAGTTACTGTGAATTCTGTATATCTGTGTACTCGAGGAAACAGCCTTATTGTGAAATGGAGAAGATAAATGGGGTTTATTTGATCTATTGTCAGGGCTAGGTGCATACAGGGAATTTGTACTTTCTTGCAAAAATGTTATGGTCCTTCCTTACCTAAGTGGGTCTGTAGGTCCATTTGGGAAACTAGATAAAAGATTCTGACTCAGTCTTGAGCTCTTTTTAAAAATTTTTTAAAATTTATTTATTTTTAAAGAAAGGGGAAGAGAGGGAGAAAGAGGAGAGAAACATCAATGTGTGGTTGCCTTCTACTCACCCCCCACTGGGGACCTGGCCTGCATCCCAGGCATGTGCCCTGACTGGGAATCGAACCAGCTACCCTTTCTTTGGTTCGCAGGCTGGCACTTGATCCACGGAGCCACACCGGCCAGGGCTTGAGCTCTTATATTTTAGACAAAATCTGTGAATTGTGTTGGGAAAATAGAATGGAATCTAGTGCCTTAGTTTACTTCTTGAATTTTCTCAACCATAATATTGAAGGTCTATCTGCAGAGGCGGGTGGTGGTAGAAGGCAGGAAACAGTTAGGAGGCAGGAAGCAATACCTTTCTTTGTAGAATAAAAACACATTTACCAGAACTGGAGACTAGAACCCCACTCCTTATTCAGAACTGGACTTGCTCTCAGATCAAACTGCTAACAATTGCTGGAAACAAACTCCAGAGACTCTAAATGAGGTGCTGGCGTGTCTCCTGAGAACAGAGTCCGCGTGCCTCTTCTTCTTTAGGTTAGCGGTTTGCAGAGCCGGGGGTGCGTGGCTGCACTGAGGGGGTCCGCTGTCCTCTGTGGGCCCAGGATCTAATTCCCTGTCCTGTGGTCTGGCTTTATCACGGGCCACCTCAGAACAATGCATGGTGGTCATTTTCAGTCCCCTGATCACCATTGTGATGAGATGGAGAATGCAGCCGCCTCAGTTGCCAGAGGAGAAACCGCAGTCAGTATCACTGTGAAGTAAACCAGAAGTGTCACAGTGCTGACCAGGACATTAGGAGTGAGGTGGGCACTCGGGTCCATTTCAGTAACGGAAGTGAGCAGCAAGCACCTCCTTTGCCAGGTAGATTTGACGCGTGTGCAGGCTGCAGCTTGGGACGCTGGTGTCTCCCGACCCTGTGGATGCTGAGCAATGCTCCAAGGACTCTGTTTGGGGAGCTCTTCCGAAGTTCTGGTGTGGAGTCCAGGCTGCAGTTCGATCCAACTGTTTGCTCACCGAAAGCTTTTTATCTCAACAGGACTGTCTCCAGTGTTTTTTCCAGCAAGACACACTGACCTTGAACAATCAAATTCATTGTTCCTTTTGTGAAACAAAGCAAGAAACAGTGTTGAGGGCCAGTATTTCCAAAGCACCAAAAATAATGATTTTTCACTTAAAAAGGTATGGATTTTGACGTTTTGTGAGCAAATTTTTGGACAGCTCTATCAAGATATAATTCAAATCCATGCAATTGTTCACTGTGGACAATTCAGGGGTATCCAATATATGACATTAACTTTTTAAAATGCGATAAAACAGAACGTGAAATTTGCCATTTTAGCCATGTTTCGTGTGTACTGCATTGTATTCATTACATTCACGGCGCTGTACCACAATCAGTCCCACTATCCCCAAAACCTTTTCATCACTCCAAACAGAAACTCTGTACCCATTAAGCAAAAATTCCCCAGTTCTCATCCCCCTAGTCCCAGGTAGCCTCTAATCCACTTTCTGTGCCTGTAAATTCACCTGTTTCCGGTACTTCACACAAGTGGACTCATACAACACCATCTTTTTGCTGGACTTCTTCACTTAGCTGTTTCCAAGGTCCATCCATGAGTACCGGAAGCTCGCTCCTTTTTATGGCTGAATAATATTCCACTGTGTGTATATCACATTGTGTTTATTCATCTGTTAGTGGACATTTGGCACTCATTCTGAGTGCTTTTAAAAATTAAATTCCCACCGCTATGGATTCTGATTCCATAAGTCTGAGGCAGAATCTAAGCATTACTATTTTAATTTTTATCTCCCCACACCGATTTTTGTTTTGAAAATTTTTAAATCTACCAAGAAGCTGAAAACTTTTTTGATGAATACTGGCACGCTCCCAAATCTTCGTCAGCTGGTGACACTTTGCCACATTTTCTTTCTCCTCTCCTCCTCCCTTCCCTCCCTTCCATTTTTTCAGCTGAACCATCTGAAGAAAGATGTCAACACCATGGCCTTTCATGCTTCAATACTTCGCCATGTGTCCCCTGAACATAAGGATATTCTCCTACACAATCATACCACCATTATTACAACCAACAAATTTGACACAGTTTTATATCCCCTAAGATACATTCCATATGTAAATTCCCCCTGCCCCACAAATGTCTTCATAAGTTTTTTTCTAATCTAGGGTCCAGTCAAAGGTCATACATTGCATGGGGCTGTTTCTACATCTAGAACAGCCTTTCCCTCTTTTTACATATTTGACCATTTGTTCTCATATTGTGCCTTTGAGGAGCCCATTGTTTGTGTTTGTCCCCATTTTGGATTTATGTCATTGTTTCCCCATGATTAGATTCGAGCTAAACTTAAAAAAAAGTTAGCAGGAATCGGTGTAGGCAGTGCTGTGTGCTTGCTTGCCATCACATTGTATCAGGCGCATCACAGAAGTTTGCCCCTCGGTGGGTGCTATTACCTGTGATCCCACAGGTGACATAGTGGCTGCGGGGGTTTGCCCCTTGAAGGTATAGTTTCCCCTCTATCATTGCTATCAGTCTGGCCCTGTGGATACTCAACTCTGACATGTGTATTATTCATGACTACAACTGTTCTTGATGTTCAAATTGTTCGAAATTGGCCAGTGAGAGCTGCTTCAAGCCCGCTCCTGTTACCTCGTTAGTTAGTTAGTTTAGTGTAATTACATGTACAAAAGTCATCCTTCTCAGAGGTACAGATCTATGTACTTTTTTAAATGCACACAGACATGTAACCATCAGAGCCAACATGTAGACTATTTCCATCACGCCAAAACGTCTCCTCTTGCTCCTTTGTAATTAATATCGTCTCCTCATCCACCCCTGGAAACTTGACCTGACTTCCATTCTTAGAGTCATTCCTTTGCCAGAATGTCCTGTATTATATCATATGTAGCCTTTTGATTTTGGCTTCTTTCACTTAGCATAAAGTTTCTGAGATTCAGGTTCCATGTTGTGGCATGTTGCAGGGTTCCTTCCTCTTTATTGCTGAGTAGTATTCGCTCTCATGAACACACCACAGTATTTTTCCATTCACCAGTTGATGAACATCTGGGTTGTTTCCAGTTTGAGGCAGATGTGAATACTACTATATAAACATTAGCACATAGATTTTTAACTACATTTTATTGGTTATGCTTTTACAGTTGTCCCAATTTTTTCCCTTTGCCCCCCTCTACCTAGTACCCCCCATTTCCTCTTGCAATCCCTCCTTAGTTTATGTCTGTGGATCACACATATACGTTCTTTGGCTTCTCCATTACCTATACTGTTCTTAACACCTCCCTGTCTGTTTTGGACCTACCATTTATGCTCCTAATCCCCGCACCTTTACCCCATTTTCCCCTCTCCCTCCCCCTCCCAACTGATAAACCCTCCAAATGATCTCCATATCTATGATTCTGTTCCTGTTCTGCTTGTTTGCTTAGTTTGTTAGTTGGAGTCAATTATTGATAGTTATGAACTTATTGCCATTTTAATGTTCATCTTTTTTATCTTCTTTTTCCTTACATAATTCCCTTTAGCACTTCATATAATAATGTCTTGGTGATGATGATCTCTTTCAGTTTTACTTGTCTTGGAAGTACTTTATCTGCCCTTCCATTTTAAATGATAGCTTTGCTAGATAGAGTAATCTAGGTTGTAGATCCTTGCTTTTCCTCACTTTGAATACTTCTCGCCAGTCCCTTCTAGCCTGCAAAGTTTCTTTTGAAAAATCAACCTCCCCCTGTCTATTTTCTACCTACCATTTATGCTACTTATTCTCTGTACCTTTTTTTCCTCTCTCCCCCTCCCACTCCCCTGCTGATAACCCTCCATGTGATCTCCATTTCTGTGATTCTTTTCCTGTTCTAGTTGTTTGCTTTGTTTTTATTTATTTATTTTTGTTTTAGGTTAGATTGTTAATAGGTGTGAGTTTGTTGTCATTTTAATGTTCATATCGTTGATCTTCTTTTTTTAGATAAGTCTCTTTAACATTTCATATAATAAGGGCTTGGGTATGATGAACTCCTTTAACTTGACCTTATCTGGGAAGCACTTTATCGGCCCTTCCATTCTAAATGATAACTTTGCTGGATAGAGTAATCTTGGATATAGGTCCTTGCCTTTCATGACTCTGAATACTTCTTACCAGTCCCTTCTTGCCTGTAGGTTTCTTTTGAGAAATCAGCTGACAGTCTTATGGGCACTCCTTTGTAGGTAACTGTCTCCTTTTTCTCTTGCTGCTTCTAAGATTCTCTCCTCTCTAATCTTGGGTAATGTAATATGATGCACTTTGGTGTGTGCTTCCTTGGGTTCAACTTCTTTAGGACTCTCTGAGCTTCCTGGACTTCCTGGGAGTGTATTTTCTTTGCCAGATTGGGGAAGTTCTCCTTCATTATTTTTTCAGATATGTTTTCTATTTCTTGCCCTTCATCAACCCTGTGATTCAATGTTGGAACATAAAAGTTGCCCTAGAAGTTTCTAAAGCTCTCCTGATTTTTTTTTTTTAATTCTTATTTCTTCATTCTGGTTGGAATGAAGAAATTCTTCATTTCTTCATCCGTTCTGGTTGGAAGTTTATTTTTTTCCTTCAGCTCCAAACCCTTGATTTGAGTCCTGCTTTCCTTCCCATCACTGTTGGTTCCCTGTAAATTTTCCTTTATTTCACTTTTCATAGCCTTCACTTTTTCTCCATTTTGTGACCATGGACAACCATTTCTGTGAGCATCCTGATTACTAGTGTTTTGAACTCTAGATCTGATGGGCTGGCTATCTCCTCATTGCTTAGTTCTATTTTTGGAGTTTTTATCTGTTCTTTCATTGGGCCATATTTTTTTTGTCTTGACACATCAACTGACAGTCTATGAGAATTACTTTGTAGGTAACTATCTGCTTTTCTCTTGCTGCTTTTAAGATTCTTTATCTTTACTTTGAATTTTAAATATGATGTGTCTTGGTGTGGTCCACTTTGGGCCCATAGCATATAGATTTTTATGTGGTTGTATGTTTTCATTTGTTTTCAGATTATACCTAGGCATAGGATTGCTGGGTCACATAGCAGAAAGCAAGTTTTCTTGCTTTCTGACACAAAAATATGTCAGATTTACCCAGGAATTTCCCCTTCCCAAGGCCTAAATCAGCTATTTTTCCAAAATGAACATAACTTATTTTTAAAGAAGCTGCAGGGTGATTTTGATATAGGCTTAGCTTTGGGAACTGCTGATCTAAATAGCAATAAAGAATGTGACACAAAATTTTATCTTATGAAAGATATATTAAAACCTCAGAGCTGGAAAACAGGACACTGCCAAGACAATGCATGCTAAAACCAAGAAAAGAAAGGCTGAGCCAGCTTGGTGAGAGTGAACAGCATCAGCTGGAATGCAGTATCCAGGACGTTATCAGTGTGATTTCTACTCCCCTGATGCCCCGCCTGGCTTTCCCCCTTCTTTCTCTCCCACTGGATTGGCTCTACACTGCCTCACACCCTGACTCAAGCTTTTGGCCCTCTCTAGTCTCAGTTTTGGCAAGGCATGTGGATGTGGAGATTCTAAACATAGGTAAATAAGAAAAAAAATTGTATACAGTTCTGTACCAAATAATCTTTCCAAGAAATTCTTTAAACTGTACTTAGAATTTCTCAAGGTATGCTGACTTCATACATGGGTTGTTCACAATTTCACTTTATATTTCACACATGTATTTTTTCTCTAGGTTTGACATTCTGGGTACAATGAAAAAGAAACTGAGAACAGATATTCATTACCCACTCACTAACTTGGACATGACTCCTTACATCTGTCCAATTTTTCGGAAACATCCTAAGTATAACCTCTGTGCAGTGGTGGTGAGTAAAATGCTACAACTATTTAATATAACACAAATTTAAAGAAAACTGTAGAATTATCTGCTTAAATGCCCACTCCTTCTATCTTTCCCTGGATTCTCCTATTAAAAACAAAATATAGAGACTGGAAACTCTGTGCTTTGACCTTGAACAGTAGAGCAGTGAAAGAATAAAAGGTCCTGGTCATGGCCTCCACACTTTCCCTCCACTCAGGGGCTACTTCAGATCCAGGAACATTTGCAGATCTAGGAACTGAAGCAGCAGACATTGGTTCCAATAGCTGTACATTGGATTATCATGAGCCACTCCCTAGCCAAAGCCCCTAAACACTATGTATGTAATAGTCACAGATGCATTGCCTGTATACACCCAGTCCTATGTATAAAACCCCCAGAGTTCCCTTCAACTCTATGCCAACTCTCATCATTGAGGATTCTCAGAAGGAAAGAAAGCATGGGGTATACTTCACACCAAATCATTTACCATATAGATTGTAATTAATAATAGCAATAGCTATTATGTATTCAGCCTGGCACTATGTTAAGTACTTAACATGTGTTTTCACTTCTAATTCTTTCAACAATTCTATGGAGTAGGCGCAGTTATTTTTAAATCCTGTGTTATAGATGAAATATCATGTGGCAATATATTAAGAGATGTGCAGTGGTATGTAGAAAAAAGGAATATCTACCTACCTACCTACCTACCATCTGTCTGTCAAGAATTATTTGAATTTATATATGATATATTAAGAGTGGGCATGTATATACACACACATACATATGGTATATGAACACATTGAGACCATAATATATACACATATACATAAGAGCACATATATGTGCATGGTAAGTATGTATATATACATATAAAAAATATATGTGTAAAGGGAAGGAAAGAGAGTAAGAGCATATACACTTTGTAAAAAAAAAGTAGATCTCAGTTTGGTGAGTGAGATCACTAAAATGTGACTTTGCCACTTCCCAGTTACATGATCTGGGACTCTGACCTGTTGCTTATATATCGCCTTACAGGTTTGTTGTGAGAAATTAGATTAAGTGACCTAGGCATGTGGCACAAGCTATCCTCCCCAAAGTTCATGAAGACATTCACCTATATTATCATATAAAAGCTTGGATTTACCTTAACACAGTTTTCAAAATTATACTTAAAACTGTCTATTTTTTAATTTTCTAATTTCTTGGCAAATGTCAGCTTTTCTTTCCAATTATTACATCTCTTATTCCTTTTTCTTGTCTTACTGCTCTGGTTAGGACTGCCAGTATGTATAGAATATATTGCGTTACTCCCTTCTAGACTGAAAAGTTTCTGCTCTGAAAAATTTTAGGGGTGAGGAGTGGGGTTACCTAAGAGTAACAAGTTGTTTTCCTCTTGCTGCTTTTAAGATTCTCTCCTTGTCTTTAAGTTTTGGCTTTTTAATCCATGTATCTCTTAGATTCATCTTTTTTGGAGCTTTTTGGGTTTCCTGTATCTGGATATCTGTTTTCTTTCTCAAGTTAGGAGAGTTTTCAGCCATTATTTCTTCAAATAAGTTTTCTGCCTCTTTCTCTCTCTCCCTTCTGAAACCCTTGCAATGCAAATGTTAGTCCACTTGATGTTGTTCTATAAGTCCCTTAAGCTATTGTCATTCTTTTTAAATTCCTTTTTCATTTTGCTACTCTGATGGGAGGAGCTCCATTCTTTTTTATTTTATTTTATTTATTTATCTTTAGAGGGGAACGGAAGGAGAGAGGGAGAGAAATATCAATGTATGATTGCCTCTCATGAGTCCCCTACTGGGAACTGGCCTACAACCCAGGCATGTGCCCTGACTGGGAATCGAACCACGGTTGTGTGGTTCACAGGCCCATGATCAATCCACTGAGCTACACCAGCCAGGGCTCCATTGCCATTCTTGAGTTCATGAATCCTTTCTTTTGTTTCATCTAGTCTGTTGAAGATTTTAGTGTTATAAAATGAAGTTTTTTACTTCATTTATGACATTCTTCAGCACTGTGATTTCTCTTTGGTACTATCTTATGTTTTCTATCTCTTTGTTGAAATATTTTTCACTGGGCTCATCTGTTTTTGTTTTTTTTTTTTCTGAGTTAGGTGACAATCTTTTCCACCATCACTTTGAACTTTTTATTAGGTAAATTACTTATGTTTTTCTCATTAAGGTTTTTTTCCTGAGGTTTTTTATCTTGTTCTTTCATTTGGAACATATTCCTTTGTTTCTTCTTTTTTTTTCCTTTTTGCTTGACTCTCTGTGATGGTCTCTGTGCACTAAATAAAACAGCCCCCTCTTGTGAGTAGCCTTGTGTAGGAGATGAACCTAACTGTTCAGCTCTGCCCTAGGTTTGGTTGTCTTTCAAACAATTACTTTTGTAATTTTCCAGGCAGGCTATTATTTTTAATGGCTCCACGTAGCAGAGGGTATGACAGGACTTGTCAGCATGCCAAAGGGGAGCATCTCGGACCTAGATTCAGGCCAATTGGAAGCCACACCCTCAGGCGGCAGCTTTTAAAGTGTGTGAGCATGTACATTCCTGTGAGACTGCAAGTGTAAGCCAGTTGATCTGAAGTGTGCTCCGCGCAGCAGCCACGAAAGCTGAGACTCCAGACCAGCGTATAAGCTCTGTTCTGGGAGATACCAGTAAGGTGTGTAAGGCAGAGGGGAAGTGCAAGGCTGGTGTCCGCCAGCCTATGTTCCCTAATAGCACTTCTTCCCGCCCCTGTTATGTGACAAACCAGAGCCTGCCCCTCAGGCTGAAGCTCCAAGATAAGCAAATGAGCCTCGTTTACAGAAAAACAGGGTGTGTTCCATTCTGCCATCTGTGCAGTGCCCTGTGGGGCATGGGGGTAGCTGTCAAAGACTTTCTCTCTCTCTGGGCCCTGACTGGTATGGCTCTGCTGGTTGGAGGATTGTTCTTTGAACTAAAAGGTCACAGGTTTGATTCCCAGTTAGGGCACACACCTGGGTAGCAGGTTCCGTTCTCAGTTGGGGCATGTGCGGGAGGCTGCTGATTGATATTTTTCTTGCATCTATGTTTCTCTCCCTTTCTCTCCCTTTCTCTCCCCTCTAACCATGTTCTCAGATGACAATTAAAAAAAATAATTCTCTCTCCAACTGTTACGATCCCTACAATCCCACGAGACCCTAAAACACAAGCTCCTCTGGCCATCAGAATCAGACAATCAAGGGGAATCCCCTGGGTGACAGCCACAAAAATCAGGGTGTAAAAGCTCCCCTGGGGGCGATCCCAGCATTCTGAGCACGGTCAGGGGACAATGGAAAGATAGTGCCTACCTGTGTGGTCTCTGGAAAGGATATAGTCAGCCCATAGATGTGTCTAATTAGAAGTCTGTCAGTTACGATCGACTTCTATCATGGACAGTTATGATAAGCTATCGGGTACTTTCACAGAAAGAGCTCCTGGGTCTGTTGCCTCTTGCTCTTCCTTGAGGGTAGTAGCAGTTTAAGAACTTTTTGTCTCTTGGTTTAAATGCTATGGGACCCACAGGCATAAGCCTCTTGGGCCACCAGAGCCAGGCAAAGTAGTGGTGTGCCCCCCGGCAGCTGCTGCAAAAGGGAGGCACCAGAGCAGGGTGTAAGTCCTTCCTGGAAGATACTGGTGAGCGGGAGAAAGGCAGAGGGAGAGCTTCCGGGAAAACACCTCCAGTGGCCCCTACTTGTGTGCCTGCCTAGAACCTGCCCTCAGGCTGAAGCTCCTGGTAGCAAACTGGCCTCTGATTGCAAGACATTTACAAGGAAGGAGCCAAGAACAAACCATGCAGAAAGGCCAGTCTCTTGAATAAATGGTTCTGGGGAAACTGGACAGCCCCATGCAAAAGAATGAAATAGACCTCTATTTTACACCATACACAAAATTAACTCAAACATAGGGCCTGAAATCGTAAGATGCATAGAAGAAAGCATAGGCAGCAAGCTGCCTGGCATCAGACTCACTGTTGTTTTTGTGGAGGTGACTCTAACAGCAAGGGAAACAAAAGCAAAAATAAACAAGTGGGACCACATCAAACTAAAAAGCTTCTGCCCAGCAAAGGAAACTATCAGCAAAAAGAAAAAAAAACCCTCCTGACTGGGAAAGAATATTTGCAAATCATACATCTAATACGAGTTAATATACAAAATATTTACAGAACTCACACAACTCAGCAACCAAATAAAACAAAGCAACCTGATTTAAACATGGGCAGGGGATCCAAAATAACCTTTTTCCAAAAAAGATATACATATGACCAATTGTCGCATGAAAAAATCCTCAACATCACTAATTATTAGGGAAAGGCCATTAAAACCACGTTGAGACATCACCTCACATTTACTAAAATGGCTGTCATCAAAAAGACAAGAAAAACAAGCACGTAGTAGGATGTGGAGAAAAGGGGGTCCTTGTGCACTGTTGGCAGGAATGGAAATTGGCACCGTGCTATGGAAAGCAGTGTGACTGGTGGTTACCAGAGGGAAGGAGCTGGTGGAGTTGGGGGGAACAATGAGTAAGAGGGTCAGTTGTGTGGTGACAGCTGGAAACTAGACATTTCCCTTTCTGTCCTTGCATGAAGGGGAGCAAGCTCATGAAAAAAGAACTTAGTGTGATGCCGCAGTTTTCTCCACTTTCAGTTTCTGCACCTTCCACACGGCTTCCAACAGCAAAATGGGACAGAGCGTTCGGAGGTTCACAACCTCTGTGGTTGTAGGAGCCATTAGGAGGAGGGTCCAGGGAAGAATTTGACATTTTCAGTGGAAAACAAGTGGCAGTTACTAGCTTTGTGTTTTGAGCCTAGATTTGTCGCACCTTTCTATATAGAAAGACACCAACTGCTTAAAAAATAAGAATGCTTTAGTTAATCCATGAAACAGATATGAGGGGGACCATTTAAAGAGGTACAGTCTGTTTGAAAAATGGATCAACCTGTTTTTTTTTTTTTTTTTAAGATTTTATTTTTAGAGGGGGAGGGAGAAAGAGAGGGAGAGA